TATATATATATATACACACTGCTTATAGTTAATGTTAACTAATGCAATGATTAATGTTAACAAATGAGACCTTATTTTAAAGTGACATGTTAGATATACAGTATTGTCATCTCCTTTACATCATCAGCAGTAAAAGAGCATTTCTGTGTGGGACTTTGGTAGAGACAGTTCAGAGTTTACAATGACAGATATTCAATTCAATGACAGAGACCGATGAAAAGAAAAAACATACAGCAGACAAACAGTGGACTTCTGCGTGCTGCACAGATGCATGCTGGCCATATACGAGGTTCAGTCAGTTCAGCGTTGACTGAAAGCTGCTTGGTGACAACCCATCTCAGCCGCCTGTTTGAAGAGAAGAGAGTGCTGCCATGGCAACGCTGAAAGACATGGGTGTTTCCTCTGGAGTGGCACAGCTCACAGTGTGTGTGTGTGTGTGTGTGTGTGAGAGAGAGTGTGTGTGAGGCAGCTTTAGCCTACATTATAGGGACCAAATGTCCTGACAAGAATAATAAAAGCTGATATTACCTACAGGGAAACAGCCAGTGGAGGAAATTTGCTTAATACACATACAAAGTAAATAAAATGTAAAAGATGAAAATGTGTAAGGGATAGATTTTGATATAGCTATGCATTTAAACCTGTTTTATGTGCTCTATTAGTGTGTGTAAAGTCATGAGGACATATGGGTTTCATTACAGATTCGTTGTTATGATTTATCAGTGGGTGATTTGTTTTTTGTAGATGAATATGTGACTAATGCTGGTTCTGGATGTGTGTGTGTGTGTGTTTATGGCTATAATTGATATAACATGGGAGGGTAGCTTTATCTCAGAAATTGCTTTTTTAAGACACTTACACATCCGTCTAAATACAAGACTCTGAGCCAAGCTTGTTTTAAAAAGATCTGTGAGATTTATGAAATTAAAAGTGCACAAATAAACCACAGCAGTTTCATACAGAGTCACATACACGTGCTTGAGAAATGAGCATATTTTGCAGACATTAGGGAAATCTCTCACAGTTTTTCTCTCGTTTAATTGCAGTTGTTTGCTGTAAATGCCATTTGCATAATCATCTCATTCCATACATGCAGAGCGTAAATACTGACCTCGTGAGGAAGAGGAGGTGGCGGTGTGGATTTAAGCACGGAGAGATTTTGACATGTGACCAGGAATGAGATCAGTGTGTCAGCTTCACACCGCTCAAACGGTGCCTGGCAAAAGCTGTCAAACAACATCAGAGCTGTGAGCTGCAATTCCCTCCGCCAGGTGTGTGTGTGTGTGTGTGTGTGTGTGTGTGTGTGTGTGTGTGTGTGTGTGTGTGAGAGAGAGTGTGTGTGAGGCAGCTTTAGCCTACATTATAGGGACCAAATGTCCTGACAAGAATAATAAAAGCTGATATTACCTACAGGGAAACAGCCAGTGGAGGAAATTTGCTTAATACACATACAAAGTAAAGAAAATGTAAAAGATGAAAATGTGTAAGGGATAGATTTTGATATAGCTATGCATTTAAACCTGTTTTATGTGCTCTATTAGTGTGTGTAAAGTCATGAGGACATATGGGTTTCATTACAGATTCGTTGTTATGATTTATCAGTGGGTGATTTGTTTTTTGTAGATGAATATGTGACTAATGCTGGTTCTGGATGTGTGTGTGTGTGTGTTTATGGCTATAATTGATATAACATGGGAGGGTAGCTTTATCTCAGAAATTGCTTTTTTAAGACACTTACACATCCGTCTAAATACAAGACTCTGAGCCAAGCTTGTTTTAAAAAGATCTGTGAGATTTATGAAATTAAAAGTGCACAAATAAACCACAGCAGTTTCATACAGAGTCACATACACGTGCTTGAGAAATGAGCATATTTTGCAGACATTAGGGAAATCTCTCACAGTTTTTCTCTCGTTTAATTGCAGTTGTTTGCTGTAAATGCCATTTGCATAATCATCTCATTCCATACATGCAGAGCGTAAATACTGACCTCGTGAGGAAGAGGAGGTGGCGGTGTGGATTTAAGCACGGAGAGATTTTGACATGTGACCAGGAATGAGATCAGTGTGTCAGCTTCACACCGCTCAAACGGTGCCTGGCAAAAGCTGTCAAACAACATCAGAGCTGTGAGCTGCAATTCCCTCCGCCAGCTTTGAATTTCTGGTGCCCCAGCCTCTTGTGCACATTTTGCCTGTGGTATATTTTCAGAGTTTGACTTGGGGGGGGTTTCACAGGCCGCTGATGTTTTGCATGGGTTTAGGAATTATCTGAAAACTGGGAGGGAGACATCAACATTAGCTTGGCTCATGAATATTAATTAGGTGATTAACTGATTTGCTTAAAATGCACATACTTTAAGTAGGCACGGGCTATATAAGGATTACTATGCATTAATTGTGTTTTCATTCATTCTGCTGATACACCCATTTGGCAAAGACTTCTGCTTGAGCTTAAAGCCTTTTTTTTTACACTGCTGGCTATTTTTTTCTTTGCTGTGTGGCCGAGCAAAGCCTTTTAAATATATGATTATTGCTCAAAAACTGTGGGTCCCTGTATCTCTGTATAAATGTGCTTATGTAAATCAAGAGAATTTTATGTTAAAAAATAATAAATGTTACAATTAAATTAAAAAAATACATTCAAATATGAATATATGAAAATATATTAATTTTATTTCTAATCTTTTAATCATCATATCTTTTAATCATTATGTAACATGCAAAAGTTTATAGTTAACAGTTTTATTTTAGTATAATTGATATACTATTATAGTATTTATTATGATTTTAAATTACCTTTTTTACATTTTCAGTTTCATTTTAGTTTTGCTTTAAGTTTTAGTAATTTTATGCATTTGTCATTTTTAGTTTGTATTTTATTAAATATTTCAATTTAGCTTTACTTTATTTTATTTTATTTCCGTTTTAGTCAATTTAGTGCCTCAGCTTAAACTTATTTTCTTTTATTTGCAAAATTTCTAATGTTTACATTTTTTAGGTTTTAGTTCATCTCTAATAAAATAGTTAATCTATTTTATTTTAGACATGAAATCGTTTTTCATCTATTTTATTTCATCTTTTGTCAGTGTAACGTAAGTGTAAGGTGTGTCACGTTTACTGTGTGCAGCACTGTTCAGTGTTTCAATTATCAAGCACTTTTCACACACTGTTTCTTGTTGTACGCTGCTTAGACTCACTTGAGCGAGAGAGGGATTCCTTGGGGATTTGGGCAAATCTGGGTTTTGTTTTTTTTTTACCTTTTTTTTTTTTCATTATTATTGGTTAAAGTGCAATTACAGTGGCGGCTGAGTGCTCTCATCACCATTAATCCCTGGCAATTAATATGCATATATTCATTTAACATACTGGCAACTTTCTAAAAGTGAGATTAATGTGCTGCTGGTGAGTCGCATTGTGGTGGGCTTTATCTCGTTTCAGCACATTTCACTAAGAATTTATAGCTGAGTGGAGACGGAGAGCAGTGTATCAAACAGACTAGACCTCTGACCACTGTAAGCATCAACGTGTGCATGAAGAAGCTACACGCAGACCAGCGTTTGTAATAAGGTTAGGATGTAGAAAATGTTCAGTGCTCCTCAGAATGGGATTTGATTTTTTTGAATGAATACACCTGATAAACTCATAATGGATCTCCATTTGAGCATGTGATTTCCATTAGTTTCTCTGAATTGTTTTAGTAAAACGGATACAAAATATTCAGCTCTTCCTGAATAAAATCTTGGCTTATAAACTGATAATTATGTTCAGGTTATGGCTGATAACCAATAAATGACTGAAATGGCTGATTTCTGAAGGAAAGTGACTGTGAAGCCTGGAGTAATGGCTGATAAAAATTCAGGGCAGGAATAAATTACATTTTAAATGTATTAAAGTAGAATAAATACATGTTTAATTGTAATAGTATTTCAAAATATTGCTGTTTTACTGTAGTTTTGATCAAATAAATGCAGACTTTCAAAAATTGTCCCGAACCCAAACTTTTGAAACATAGTGCAAATTAAAAATAAAAACTTAAAACTAAAATCTGTCTTTTAAATGCTGTATAATTGAATTTAGACATTGTAGTATTATATGTATACTTCAAAAAAATGGATATACATTTTTACATTTGCTAAGGATTTACATGTTTCATTTTGCACAGTACATCTATTGTTTTATATGTGACCCTGGACAACAAAACCAGTCATAAGGGTCAATATTTTGAAATTGAGATTTATACATCATCTGAAAACTGTATAATTATAAATAAATAAATAAATAAGCTCTCCATTGATGTATGGTTTGTTAGGATAGGGAAATGCTATTTGAACTATTTGAAAATCTGGAATCTGAGGGTGCAAAAAAATCTAAATATTGAGAAAGTCACCTTTAAAGTTGTCCAAATTAAGTTCTTAGCAACGCATATTACTAATTAAAAATTAAGTTTTGATATATTTATAGTAGGAAATTTACAAAATATCTTCATGGAACATTTTTTTTATATCCTAATGATTTTTGGCATAAAAAGCAAAATCAATAATTTTGACCTATAGAGTGTATTGTTGGCTATTGCTACAAATATACCCGTGCTACTTATGACTGGTTTTGTGGTCCAGGGTCACATATTTGTAAACCAAGAGTGTGTTTTGCACTATTTTTTTTTTTTTAAATAAATGCTACTTGGTTTGATGTTTGGTTTTATAATACACATGTGTTTTATGTGTACATAAGTTTACTTATTGAAGCCACTATATATGTATGTAATTGCATTTCCACAGGTCTCTCTCTGGCCGTATCGTGGGTGGTGTGTGGTGGTTCTTCACTCTGATCATCATCTCCTCATACACAGCCAACCTAGCTGCTTTTCTCACAGTAGAGAGGATGGTGTCACCCATCGAGAGTGCAGAGGATCTGGCCAAACAGACTGAGATTGCTTATGGGACTCTAGATGCCGGCTCCACCAAAGAGTTCTTCAGGGTAAAGAGGAGACATGAAGTGTTAACCTAAAAAAAAGGATATTTGTAAATGTATAATATTTCACTTTCTTTCCTCATTTAGAGATCAAAGATCGCAGTCTTTGAGAAGATGTGGTCTTATATGAAATCTGCAGACCCCTCAGTGTTTGTGAAAACCACAGATGAAGGAGTTATACGGGTGAGGAAATCCAAAGGGAAGTATGCCTACCTGCTGGAGTCCACCATGAACGAGTACATCGAGCAGCGCAAACCCTGTGACACTATGAAGGTCGGAGGAAACCTGGACTCTAAAGGCTATGGCATCGCCACCCCCAAAGGATCCCCTCTCAGGTAAAGCCAGCTGTCCACTGTATGCTAACTGTAAGGATTTAACCATTGCTTAACTAACTTCTGATGGTGATTCAGTTGTGGTAGAGGCTGGATACAGTACTATAGGGGTTATGGGTGACTATCCATTTTCATACTGCATTTCGTAAACTTGCAAGCCATTTCTGAGTACTAGGTTATAAAGGACACAGCAGACTAATGCAATCTGGCATACTTTACTGAATCTGTACAGCATTACTCTATCACTGCAGTTCTGACATCTAAATCAGCTCTTTAAAATGCCAAGTGTGCTTGAGTACACTGCATAGTCTATATGTGCTCTTCTCCATCATTTGATGAATTTTTGCTGACACGATTGCAGGCAAATATTGCTGAGTTTTGCAAACAAGACACATTCTATAATAAGCTTAATTTACATAGAAAAACAACGCATTTGTGCCGAGAATGACTTACAAATTTAACACCTGGATGGTTTATGCGGGTGGTTTATGAATAAGATGCAGGCTTTTGCCAAAGTGATGCGGCTGTTCAGTGAACTTGCCTGGTTTCTCTTTTTTGAAGGACTTTTTAATGGCTATACGTGACATCATTAAATAAGCCATCCTTTGAACCAAAGGTGAGGGTGGAAGTACTGTACTAAGCAGCCTCTGCTATAACAGAAGATGCTGTTGTGTGGGTGTACATACTTGTGTGAAGCTGTTCAAAATCCCGCCCGTACCTCATGTTGCTTGAAGGGGTTTTCAGCACACTCCACCAGAAGTGCTTGCATAAGAAACGGCAGGAAAATGATGTGCCCGCTTCAGAAGCTCTTTAGGAAACACGCGTGTTCGCCGTTCTTTCATTTAACAGCAGCTCTGCTTAGCAGAGCCCATTGAGACAGGCTCTTTGAAGCTATAGGTTAACCGAATGCTAATTTCACTTTCTCTCCTCCTTCATTACGAATTACGAAAGCTCACAGAGTCTCCTCACAGAGTGACTTGCGCATGAGAGAAATTTGGCAATCAGTTGTTATTCTTATGCAAGCCACTTCTGAAGATGAATGTCGACATTAACACGTTTCTTTTATATTCTCTGCAATATAAGGTGAACGGTTGTTATTTCAATTGTTCGCCACCATCATTAACGTCACATTTTGTTGTGCTTGAACATACCCATCTGACTAATACACCATGGCCCACATGATATTACATTCATTGCAGTGCAAAGGGCCTCACAAGGGCAATTTGGAGCTGTTGAAATAAACTCAATAACTTAATTTCTCTCTAATAAGATAAGCTCCTTGGGGAAACGACCTCATAGCAATTGTACAGTCATTTTTTTGGGTCACCTTATAGCAAAGTGAACAGGGGGAGAGCGTGGATGGAGTGGAAGAGAGACATCGGATACAAGATGTAAATGACTGACTTCCATCTTGCCACCTAGGGCAGGACTCAAATTAAATTCAATACTAGCTAGCCATTACTGTGACAGCAAGAGTGAAAGAGGCTTGGAAATGAATTCATGAATGTGTTTCTCTCTCTGGTGAGTTACAGGCTGTGCAGTGTATATCTGATTTTGAGAGAGAGCGACTCCCATACTGACACGTGTTTATATGTACCAGTATATGCTATATGGGCATCTACTGTGTGACTTCATCACGTGGAAGCCAATGGGAGAATTTGCTCTCTCTGTCAAAATTGGTAGACACTGAGAATCTTATGTGAACATCTAGACTGAGTTATGATTTGCTGGACTAAACATGTGCTGCAGTTGTCAAAATATACCATAATGCTCTATGCATTTTCACAAAATGTAGCTTTTTTTGGCCGCAAATTTTTTTACACTGTCAATTAACTTTATTATTTATAGACATCTGGCACAGATCAAATATTGCTAGGTGTAAAAACGCCTAACTTTTTAGCATCTTATTGATGTATAAACTTAAAATACTTTAAAATAATTTAATCCCCTAATCTGTGAAAAAATACATTGATTTCTACATTATTTCTTTGAGATTTTAAGATTTTAAGATTAGAAATCTCTAAAAATCAGATTGACAAAACTTTCAACTGTTCAACTTAATTCATTTTTAAAATGTAGTTAAATCGATTATAAAAATAAATAAAACGATAAATAATTTTTAAATTGCATTTTAAAGCATCTTCTTGGTTAATGTAAAATATTTAAAAAAAATTGGATGTGAGATCTGTGCATGAGCCATTACAATGTAAATGTAGCTTTAATGACACTGATCATAGCCTTTAATAAAGATCTTTTTACACCTCACTATCTGATGTTACGGTCTGCTAGCCTCATCATGCTTTAATGAACAATTTCTTAACTAAGATGATGTTAAATGAGCTTTTGAACTTGCTTTACTTTTTACTTCACTTTCTGTTTTATGGGTTAATTTACTGACTGAAGAAATAATCAGTTGTTTTGGTGCATTTCGACAGCTGTTCCACATTTTCCTAGTCTTATCTCCAACTGATACCTTAAATCGGTTTGTTTTTCAGTCAAGATGCGACAGCCCTAAAGACTGATGTGTGTGCCCTTTTATCTATATCCATCTGTGCCCATTCTCTGAGTTTAGTCAATAAAATCATCTCACCATAAGCACTGCCACCTCCTGACGCAAATGCTCATCAAACTGAATGTAGCTGTTTGTTCCTCATTCCTGAGACACTCTCTGACTTCTTTCTGTCTGGTATTTCTGGGATTAGAAAGAACTCCTGGGTTTTATCAAGCCAGACAATCACTCTCCTACACATACAGAGCTGCACACAACATTTGCTCGCGACGCAGATTGGCCAGTCGGTTACATGGGTCGTGAGGAGATGTACGTTTGTGAACTGTATAGGGTATTCAAGACCTGAGGATGAAAAGAGATGAAAAGAGATGAAGAGATAGACGCTTTATAGATGTGGTTCCACATATCAATCATGTGGGGCAGTGGGATTAAAATAAAAAAATTTAAAAAAACATGTTGGTCAAATAATGGTATTGCTTCTTTGAAGCTAAGACAACTTTAGTATAATGTTCATGCTGCTCCTTTCAAAACAATGAAAGTAAATGGTGACCAAGCTCCAAAACTGACAAAAATCACGATAAATGTAGTCTATGTGACTGGCATATCATGGCAACTGGTCAATAATAGCTGACCACGTTCACGTTATTCCAAGCGGAGTGTTTGCGGTCTGCCGGTTACCCAAAGTGATATAATAATACACATCTTGCAGCAGGGAGCAAGGAAGCATCGCTAGATGGAGTATTAACCCATATCACTTTTACAATGAACTACCAACATGTTTCTGATATGTGTGCAGTCAATTAAAAAAGAAAAAGAAACAGAACAGTTGAGTTGATATTGATGGGTATGTGTTTAATATGTGCTGAATAACATAAAATAACATGGATAATGTTATTTATGTTATTTTCCTGGTTGAAGAATCCCAGTTAACCTAGCGGTGTTGAAACTCAGTGAGCAAGCCGTCTTAGACAAACTGAAAAACAAATGGTGGTACGATAAGGGGGAGTGTGGAAGCAAGGACTCCGGAAGAAAGGTCAGTTCACATATTTGGTCCTGCTCTGTTCCCTGCAGTTTAGCCCTCTCAGTACCCTTCCAGAAGGTTCAGTTAGGAATCTGGACATGGACGGCTCTTACTCTCTCTCCAGGGTTGTATTCTTTCATTTCGGAAGCCATTTTGGTAGAAGAAACTGCATTTTTGCTTTATTAAAATTTTGTTATTTTATTATCATTTTGTGTGAAAACATGTTATGCTGATTTGGTGCTAAAGAAACTAGCACCAATAATATTATCCATTTTGGAAATAGTTATGCTGCTTAATATTATTTTATTTTTGTATTTATTTGTAATTTTTTACAAAGCGTTAACAAAGAGCTTAATGCAATTGCAAAATTCTCCCACAATGAATCAAAATGAAAATATATAAAATATAATAATAAACATAATAATAATAAATAGCATACAAAATAAGTAAATAAATGAACTTTAGCACTGTACACATTTATGTGAGTAACATTACATGAGTATATCCATTAGATAGATAGATAGATAGATAGATAGATAGATAGATAGATAGATAGATAGATAGATAGATAGATAGATAGATGAAGTTCAAAAAAGTTTGTTCAAAATAGATTTGTTTCAAATAGAAATCTTTTGTACCATTATAAAAGTCTTTACTGTCACTTTTATGATAAATTGAATGCATCCTTGCTGTAAAAATGTACCAATTTCTTAAACTGAAGAGGTAGTATATTAGTATACTATTCAGAACATTTCCAACCATTATTTTGTACCGTCATAAATTACAGACTTTAGGTGTATGTTTATAATAGATTTAGACATTTTGGCAGCATGGTTAAATATATGTGTTTTATATATATATATATATGCTGACAGTTGTTTTTGCATTTACCTTTTGCACTTACAGTATATACACACCTTAAATCTGATAAATTTTTTATTATTAATTCAAGTGTAAATAATAGTATGTCTAGCTCTAGGAGGCGTGAAGAGAAAGCCCATTATTATAGACTGGATGATTCACTGTATAATACACTCACTTTGTTTAAAATAGCTTGGTGGTCTGAATGGAGCTCTGGAGAGAGACTGGTCATATTGCTCTGATCATCCGTAAGAGTCAAGCCTCCCTTGTGGTCCTCAGCCTCTGTGTTCTCCCTCCTGTCTGCCCTTGGAGTGTGCATGTATTTGGATGCAAACCCAGTGGACAGCTGTCTGTGCTGTCATAGGCCCCGGCCGACACACACCCCCACCACACCAAAACCCACCTGCATGGCACACACAGACGAAAGCACACCTCTCTTATGGGCCTTTCTTAGAGAACCGGTTCCACACCAAGACTGTTATTATATCACCTTTGATTAAGTACAAATCCAAATCTCCTTAGATTAATGACCTGGGCTGCATGGGTGCCAACCTCTAATACCGTCATGTGCAGCTGTGATATTGTATGTGATTGTTTAGTAGCTTGTAAATTAGTGGCGATGCTAATTAGCAGGTTGAATAAATGAAAAATTAGTAGAAGGTGGACATAGACTGCCAGTGTTAGTGCATGAATGCATGTTCGTAATTCTAAATTAAATTTAACAAATTTAAATTTCATGTTCCTAATTTTAAATTAAATTTGACAGTTTAAATTTTAAATGACAATTTGTGCAATATTTTAACATGAGTTTAACCTATAGTAGTTATACCAGTCATTTTTATATAATTGTATTAACATTATATAACTGTATGTACTAGTTAATATTATTTAGTAATAATGTTGAATGATATTATTAGTATTTAATACTAGTATTTATTATTAAAATTATATTAGTTACACAAGTTAACATAATTGGATTTTCATAATGAATATTTCTTATGAATATCATTTAGCAATAATGCAAGTTCAGCAGTCCAAAACAGAAAATAAATATTTAAATTCATCAATATTCATGATATTTTATACTCAGATGAGCAGGAAACATTTTAAGCAAATGATTATAGCACTACATTTGGTGCCACAGTATTTTTTGCACTTTATTCAAGATAGTTCTCATTTTAGCTTTTATATTCTCTGTATATGTTTAGATTGTTGGATGAATGCATAAATGTGTATATGTAATGTATAGGAATGCTTCTATTGTCTTTGTCCGTGTGAATTTGTTACAATTTTATCCAGTAACTCTCATCTAAGACATTTTTCCTTCTCCTGTAGGACAAGACCAGTGCTCTTAGCCTCAGCAATGTGGCTGGGGTTTTCTACATTCTGATCGGCGGTCTGGGCCTGGCCATGCTGGTGGCCCTGGTGGAGTTCTGCTACAAGTCCAGAACAGAGTCCCACAGAATGAAGGTGTCTGAGCGGGCCGCCCAGGCCTTTCACTGCACCGCCTTAGACAGCAGCTACACTGAGCTGCAGAGTTACGGCCTGTACGGTGCCGACACTGTTAAGATATAAAGCACTCTGGGGTAGGAACCTCGAGTACTGCAGAGAACTAGGCCACATCCTGCCCACGTAGCAGCCTAACCTGCCCCCCATCTAACCGTTTCCAGATTCAAAGCTTCTGCTGCCCACTTTCAGTATCATCCGTTTCTCCTCACCTCTTCTTTTTCTGTCTCTTACACTTCTATTTTAATAGTAGGGCTGTCAAAAATGTAAATAAATAAAACATTAATTATAAAATAATTAAAATAAATATTTTAATATGATTATTTAATAATGTTAATCAAAATATATTTGCTAAAAATGTCCCCAAATGTAATATATTATAAAATGTAATAGACAATATTTTATTAATGTTTTAATATTTATTGTAAGTAATTATATATTAAATATATATTAAAAATAGTTTTTATTATTTTATCATTTATTTTTAATAGTTAGTGTATGCAAGCATGCAGACTACATCTTGACAGCCCTATTAAATACTCTAATTTAATCTCTCATTACTTCTTTCTCTCCCTCAGTTTCCCGTTGTCCGCTAGCCACTCTGTCCATAGACTAGAGCTTTGTTTATACACATCGTGTCTCTGTTCATTCATGAAACAGAGCAAGTGTTCCCCGGAGACCCTGCAGGTCTCTGTTTTCCACCATGACTCCAAAAATAGTCAGTCTACACTCGTGATTATGCATCAGTCAGCTCGTGTGCTCCTTTATACAATAAGACCCATGTCAGATCTTACCTAACGTACTTTTGCTAATGCATAGTTGATTAAAAGTACCTATCATAAACAAGCAACCTACAGCCTTTGGAAGCCTGTTTCCACAGTGGATTTTTTTTAAAAAAGGTAACTGCGACTTTTTAACTGACTAGACTGAATTTTTTTCTCAAAATTTAGAATTTACATACTACATCTATTTTTATCCTATGGCAAAAACAAGCTTCCCTAACAGGCCAGACTGACAAATCAAAGAAACCCCATTGCAAAAAAAAGGTCCCCAATAAATGGTATCTGTTGCACATATAGATCACACCTCAGTGTGATTTTTGTAATAAGTATCTTTATGACAGCCAATTACCCAAAGTAGGATTTGTAACACGTTTAGCTGGGTATTACACACTCGTGTAATATTATAATAGCAAAGATTAATATAGATTTGCTTTGTTAATTCAATTGACAGAAGTCACATTTCACAGCTGTCCATTTTTCATATTAGGCGAGCAGGAATCTGAGTCATTATAGGCGAACTAATTAGTCTGCATCAGGCGTATAACGTCATCCCCCAACGCGCTGAAGTGTAGGGCAATGAAATCATTCCTAGATTGGAAAAATGCGATTTAAAGGGACACATCATTAGCCTTGGTTTCAGGCCCACTAGCTGCGACTACAATCGCGGATTGCGGAACAGCAATAAAACGATGACATTTCTCACTTCCACACCACCGAAGCAAATTAAGCTCGTATTACATGCCTATCAAGACTGTTTATTGTCTACCCACGTCAGAGATGCTTTACAGTGTCAGCTTTGGTTTTGAGTGCCTAAATACAGTGGTCCTGGGGGGCACAATGCAACAGCATTAGCCAAGCAATTAAAACTTGACAACACAACAGCATTAGCCCACAACACATCTTTAATGCAAATACGGTTCATTCCCATAGCTTTGAACACAAGTGCTTAGTACAGTTATGGGTAGTAAAGCAAGGAATTGCAACTCGAGCTCATTGGAAAAACATGCCTGTGGTGACATTTCTGCTAAATATTTTGCAGCTTCTTGCATGTTTTGCGTCACTTTTAAAGTGAAATGTCCAGTGAGTGTCGCTAAATAAGCATTCGGTTTTATCAGAGACAGATAAAGGTGTCTCTTTTATTACACTGGTTGTTGTATGTATTGTGTCAGTTTGGAAATATCCGGCGCTAAAAGATTAATGCTCTATGTTCAAATGACACTACATGCTACCCTAAACCTAACCGATTTTAACAAAATGAAATGTGAACAGTGCATTTATTGAAGGAATGCCATTTTAGCTTGCTTCTACACTGAATAAAAATGGTATAGGATTTACATTGAAACAACATAACGTAATTGCTAGTAAATTTTGGAAATATTTGCAAAGAAACTGAAATTTTAAAGTGGAAAGGCCAAAATACTATATTTATTGTAAAACATACTCCAATAATTTTTATTTACAAATTAAAAAAACTCCTCATCCAAAGTGTAACACGTTACTAGGTGAGCTACTGAGCAAGTTTACTACAAGAAAGCCATATATGGAGTTGGTTCTGCGTATTCATTTTAAAATCATGCAGTATGGTAAAAGTGTTTTGTGGTAATAACATAGCATTGTGCAAGGAACCACACAAAAATATGTATTTATTAATTGATAATATGCCAAAAGTAATACAATTTGTCACTGTTTTATTGCCACTAGTGGACGTTTCAGCTGGAAACTGCAGTGAATTGTATGTATAGGTACATTTTTTGAGTTTTGTACAAATGTAGGTAGGTAGGCACGTTATCCCAATGAGCCCGTGTTGTGGAATTGGTAGGTTGGTAGAGCAAATGTTGTTATTTAATAGCAATATGGCTAATATTGGATTGTTTCCCAAAATGCATCATTATCGGAAAAGTTTCATTAGTGTTTCATCTGTTTGCTTTGCTAAAGGCCCCCCCCCAAGCCACCATGCTGATCAATTACAGTCAGGAAACCCAAAAGATGGAAATCTGTTGGCATAGGCCTGCAGATTAGTTCACTTCACAAATGTTGTCTAACTAATTATCCAGTCATCACATGGCAATGTGCATACTCCATTAGGCAGATGCTTAAATCATCTTTTACTGTCTCCTACTAAAATTGAGCATCTTTCAAACAGTCCTGCGCGTATTTCCGTATTCCTGTCTAAAAGGGGGGGGGGGGGGATGTGCTGCAATAACAAGCCTGTGGGACTCTTTGGGGAAAAAAAGTGTTCGTTTATGTCATGAATTCAGAAAACAAAAAAAGAGAAGTCTTGTGTCCGATTCGACACTCGCGCTGTGCCAATATTATAAACCTGTTTACTTCTGTCTGAGTGTGCAATATTTTAGTTCATATCAGTGTTCGGCAATGTTGTCTTTAACTTGAATTTCTTTATAAAGATTAGTTCACAGAGACGTTTTTTTTTTTTTTTTTGCACAAATATATTCTATGAAATGAAAAAAGCAAGTTCATTTTCCTTATGCTTAATAGAAAAGAGTTAGAGTAAGCTAACAAGCAAGATCTTACACATTTACAGTATATGGATCCAGTGCCCCGTAAACAACATTGCTTATTTCTCTCGGTCACTCTGCGTATTGAACAAACATATCAGCTCATTTAACGACCTGTCCATAGTGTAAATAATCCAATGTAAATCTGAAACCGAGTGAGGGATAAATTTGATTTGTTGTCGATCGGTAGAGCATAGCAGAACTGAACTTGTTGATTATCTTGCTCTGTGATTTCCCACCTCATGGACCTTGCATAGCTGCTACGCCTCGTTTCAGGCGCCATACCTCATCGGAGACCTGGGAGCGAGCCGCCACATGTTTTGATTGCCCCTTCATTGGGAGCTCTCCTAGGACGGTCAAATTTGACCTGTTATGGGCAAATGTGCTTTAATGAGCTAGTTCGTCCCCAACACAAACCATCAGATCTCGTTAGCGTGAAGCCATTGAGAATACATTAAGAAAAGTTCATTTAAATGGTGTTGCTGTAACAATAAGGGTACTTTGGTAAAGAAGGAATATCCAGAAATTTCCGCCAAATCTAAATGCCCATCATTTAGTTTCTACACATCCCTTGCCACATTTGGTTAATTTGATCATTCTAAAAGAGTGTAGCACTCTCGGTTTACTGCATTTAAAATGCATTCAGCAGATTTCCCCCCACAATCCATGTAGAGATTGTCAAACATTCTATGTGGGCCTACATAGAACACACCTTAAAGGGATAGTTCACCCAAAAATGAAAATTCTGTAATTTACTCACCTTCACATTTTTCCAAATGACACCCATATGACATTTTCCATATTTTATATGTCCTTCATATGCATTGTTTGGACCCCATTGACAAAAACATGGTCGCTACAGGTCGTTCAGGTTTGGAACAACATTAGGGTGAATAAATAACAGATTTTTAACGATTGAGTCAACTATAAGTTGTTTTCTGTTAAGAGAACTAACAAAGAAAAGAGTGCAGAACAGCTACAGGATCCAAATACTGGTGAAACATAGGCTGTTCTGTCCTATGTACACACTGTGTGACAAGGCTCCTCACAAGATGGTGATTGTGGAGATATCATTGATCGGCTACAGGGGCCAAGCTGACCTTTCTGAGCTCTTGGCTTCTTCACTGCAGGCTTTCAGAACATGGCTTCCAGCTCAACATAAACAGCTCTACCTATTCAGCCTTCCCCTGCACACTGCCATTGTACTGTGAAACATGACACACTGTGTGGCCATCGAAACGCTTCTATTTCTTTGCCTTTTTCTTTCCATTTTCTTGACGTGTTTTATTAGGCACAGAACACTGCAGTCCTTTATGGCCTCATGTGAGAGCAGTATTTTATAAGCAGTAAAAGATTTGTAAAGTTCAAGTGAGGCATTTAACGTTTATACTGCTGTGAGTTGATTGGACTAGTGTTTTACACATTGCTGACGCAATGTTATTCGGATATTCTCACTGATAAGGATGTTGATTTCGGTTAGTTAAGAGAGAAATGGAGTCTTTGTATTTCTGCTTTAAATGTTGAAACTTCTTATTTTGGGGGGTATTTCATTGCAAAAATTATTCTTCATACTCGCCTACTTCTTGATGATTCCACAATCCTGAACATTTTATTTCGGATGTTTTTTGTTTGTTTTATTTTATTGTTTATTTTTATTTTTTTTATCGTAAAAGAGAGATGTGGTTGAATCAAATTTACTGGAAAATACATTCAATCAATAATGAATAAAACTTTTCTAGCCACAGTCACCAAGAGCTGGGTCACTGCTTTTCAACCATGGGAAATGATTCATATTTTAGTCATTCTTTTGTAACAAATACTTGTGCTTTAGGTGTGATTTTTTTTTTTTTTATGTATTAAATTGAAGAACAATATTTATTGCTATGAATGCTATTTTATATGAATAATAATTG